TTACTCTTTATAAAAAATTTTGTAAAATTTCTTTATAAGTATAATATTATTGTTATTTTAAGGGGAGAACAAATCATCTGCTTCCTTGGGATAATAAATTAAAATTTTGCTACATGCTATTAAAAGAGACTACCGATAAATCCAATATATAAGTGCTTTAGTTTAAAAGCTTCTCTATTAGTACACTTCAACCTTACACTTTACAGTTTAAAAAAAATAGCCATACAACAGCTTCCAATAAACGAAATACTTTGGAGGCATTTGGCTACGGGCTATCCCCCATTGCTAAGGTAATGTTATCTTCTATTACTTAGATCACCATATTTGATTATCAAATAATATAAGATTTTGGTAATCTTCTAAAACCAATAGTAATTATTATTGATTATATAGGTGATAATTTGAATATCTTCATTTTCTTAAGTATTTTAAGATCACTTGGTAATCTTAATTTTATTACAATTTTACCCTTAACTATTAAAATTTTTTGACAATAACGCCCTTATTTTTAAATTAATTTACATGAACCCTATCATTACAATTTTACCCCTAAATAATTAATTTTTTGGACAATAATGCCCTTGTTTTTAAAACAATCTATAAGCTGCCCAAGAGGACCGTCGGTAGCCAGCCACCACTGACGACGACCGTCGACTACCATTGTCGAAACGGCACACGACCAGCCAGATGACCATGGATCTGGACTTTTTCCTTTACGCAGCTGCTGGTATTAAGCCCGATCTGGCCTGATTTCAGTATCACCGTTGGCCCCAACCACCACTATCTTACTCCTCTCGTTTTCTTCTTTAAATCCCACCAAACCCTATCACCGGAGCTGCCCCCAATCGCCGATGAAGCCCACTACTTTTCCGCGTGATTTCCCTTTTACTCAGCGCTTTTTCGGTCACGTTTTCCACTGGAAATCACCCCCACTTGCACCGATCGACTCCCCTTCAACTCCTCTTCAAATGCCTCAAAGAACATCTCTGTTGCACTTCCCGATCGACGGTCAGCGATGGTTTAGACAACCGATAGTGGCTTGGGTGGGTGGCTGTGTTTTTGTTAAAAATCAAACTTTTATGTGGTTGTGGTGTTTTAGCAAAATCTCAAATATAGGGGTTGAAGGAAATAATTCAAAAAATAATAATAATAAAAATAACGTTATATTAATATTTAGAAATAGGGGCAATTTAGTAATCTATATAACATACACACCAATTTATTCTTCGCAACCACATACACACCAATTTATTCTAACATAACCAAACACATTTCCCTAAACATTCTCAATAATCTTCAAGATAATCTATCTTTCCATTAATATAATATTTCCAATAATACAAAATTCTCTGAACCAAACGCACTCTTATAAAACTTAATTTGACATGTCTAAATTACATCAGCTTGATCAGGTTCTCAAAAGACATTTAAATCCTCGATTTTTTTTTTTTTTCATTTTTATTCCCTACATTCATCTAAAATATTGTACATTTGAGTTCTTAGAAGATCTTTGGACACGAAGAAAGCTGGAAGCAGATGCTAGATGGGCTGGCCTGGGGCACTCTAGCCCTATTTTTTTAATGTTTTTAATCATAAACAAATTGATTACTATCCCCCACTATTAAATACACCTCTATTAATTTAAAAAAAAAAATACTTTTAAATCCCAAATAATACCGAAAGTAGCCATCTTAATTAAACTTAATTAGAGTTTTTGTTTGCACCCTTTTCTCCAATTTCAAACTTAAATATGGTTTTTATTTACACCATTTTTGCCCAGTTTCAAATTTAATTAGGGTTTTTATTTACATCACTTTCCCCTAATTTCTTAATTAGATTTTTTTGTTTATATCACTTTTTTTCCCAATTTTAAATTTGAAACTTATTTTTCTTTTTCAAATTCAAATTTATCCTGATGTATAATTACTTTTTCCATAAATTTAGTAATATATTTTTATCAAACAAAGAATTATTTAAAATAAAAGAAAAATGTTTCAAGGATTAAGAAGATTTAAAGCTAGAGTGTATGTAATATTTATTGGTTAAAAATTGAAACAAAAATATAAATTCGAGTATTTTTCATTAAGATTAAAATTGTCAAAACAAAAAAAAATATATATTTAAAAGTGGGAGATAATGATCAATTTAATGGGGGTTAAAAATCACTTCCCTAGTATTATTTAAGTTCTACTAAAAAAAAAAAATTAAGCCCCAATTAAAATAAATTTTATTACACATAAATATCCTTTCTCAATCTTCTAAGTTGGATCTCTTTTACTTAGAACCTTAAAATCTCATCTGTCTTGCTTAAAAAAATTGAATGAAATCAAAAGTTCTCCGAATCCTAAAAGATGTTTCTATCAAGAGATTAAACAAAAAGAGATAGATTAATGATACTAATCTTGAACATAAACAATACCTCAAAAATTATGGCCATATTGAAAGGCACAAAGAATTTACAAGAAATTTATAATTCTTGTCAATTTCATAGCTTAAATTAGCTAACCAACCTATGTTTCTCACACCTAAAATTGAAATAATAACACCCTTGAACAAAAGCTGAAATAAGCGCAGAATATTGATGATGATGATTCAGTTTGATTGTTCTCTATACTGTGGTATACAGATGTAGAGAATAAAATAATTGAAATTTTAACTTAGAAACAGTAAAAACCTTTATATCACAGCCATGTACTTCTTCTTCAATAATATGTACATATATAAAGGCATGAATACTTGGTAATTTTTCACCAACCACACAGAATAATCTATCTTCTATTCACCATTTACCATTGGGTTAATTAAACATTCAGTTTTTATATTCTTCTCATTTTGCAAACATTAAATGGAAATGCTACAAAAATAACAGTCCATGCATGTTTGATTCATCCCAGTAAACTAAATCTCAGTGCCGATGAATATTAAATTTTGAATAGGCGAAAAGGTATAAAAACAAAAAAATGAAATGTCCTTTCCAAGTTGAGGGAAGACAAATGCAGGCAATTTGGCTGGAGCAGTGTCGCGGTGCATATTGTCTCGAGCGGTGCAGAAGCAGAACAGTACTTCTGACCGAGTAATGGAGCTATAGCTGTTGAATATTTGAGTACTGTACCATCCACTATTACTGTTAATGTTTAGCAGTTTAGCATAACTGGACGTGCACTCAAAATATTCCTTGCACGAGTGGTGCCCATCTTGTCGGTGATGGCCTGCAGGCTCAAGTTATGAAGAAATAATTTCCCCAATTAGTGACTTACCAGAAGCAGATATAAATAGTAATTGGATGAAGCCAGGGATCCAGATTCCAGAACAAGCATCTTTCACTAAGAATAGCTCATTTATAAATGATTTCATGCACATGTAACATAAATCTTTAACAAGATAATTATGTATGTATATGAAAGTACTTGTAAAGCTCATGACGATTTCGAAGCAACTATTTAATAATACATAGTATACTATACTTTTAATATGAAGAATATGGATCCTCTCTTATCCCTGATCTTTACATACCTTGACAAATTTAAGAAGATTAAATTTGATTGATTTGTATTACTCCACGACTATAAAAAGTTAGACAAATTAACCTTTTCAAATTCAACAAAGGCAAGATCATTTCTTTCTGTTATTACTTCGGTGAGGAGGAATCTTGGTTTACCCCAGGTAAGACCGAAGAAACCCTATATATATATATATATATATATATGTACGATTCCACCATACATATAGACTAGGGAAACCTCATGTTGATAAAAAATAAATAAATAAATAAAATCTTGTAGAAGTGAACCTTTTTTTCGCTTACGTGAATTCAGAAAAGAGTCCCTTCATTACACTTGTTTTCATAGTGCATTCTGACACAAAAGAATATTGGACTTCACTTCACCATTGCGTGTTGATGGCAAAGGCAAGCACCATTAAGTTTTAAGAGCATTAGAAGGTAAAGGGGAGTCAGTGTCAAGGCTTACTTAAATGAAGAGAACTTCTATATATGGTTTATTTCTGTTAGGTAATATCTCAAATTTTGTATCCAAAATGATTTATCAGTGATCTAAGATTGTTATATTATTGTATACAGTGTCCTTCATTTCATATGGCAATGTGAATCAGTGTGCTCTCACTTGGATACAAATTTCTTAAAAATCATGTTACTCTTTCTTACATTGCTTTCGCCGAGAATCTAGACAAATCTTTTGAATTGACTCTGTCATATATTGGTAAAACACTATTGGACAAAACTGAAATATAATCAGCTACAAGTTGCTCACTGACGATTAATCATGCAGTAATTACATATGCATTATCCAAAAGCAAACTACCCTTAAATATAAATTGATTGTACATATTACCTAATTAAAAACATTACTTCTGTATATAGTTTCATTATTATTTTTGTTCTGATAAAGTCCCGTTTAAGATTCCTTAAAAATAAGTGGTGATCGACATGCCATCCATGAACTTAACTCCAATAATATAAATTTGAGAACTTGGAGCACATGGAAGGGACATGAAGAAAAGTCCAGAAAATAAATATTTTTTTTTATCACGAATTGAGTGAAATTAAAAGGGAAAAAAATAAAGGTCTATCAGAGCACAAGTACTTTTATTTAATTCCCTACACGAAAAAGAAAGAAAGAAAGAAAGAAAAAAAGTAATGTCATGCGATGATAATGTCTATGAAGAACTCAAATTTCAAGAAGAAAATGGCTCCAAGGACCCCATTCATGTGCAAAAGTTGAGTTACGACAATAATGCTAGACAATTTAACTGTGCGGTGGAGCAAGGAAAATGCTGACTGGTGGGTCTCCACCCCCATGCACCTCTGTACTTTTCATAATATTGAGTTGCAGATGCTGTCGAACAATGAATAGACTTGCTGATTAATTGTTGTAATTAACACGAGGAGGGAAATTGAATTGGGTACGTGTGCCAGTAGCTACACTGATTGGACTGTGGAAGTTGACATACAAATAATTTCGTGGTGAGTGTATAAATAGAGGGTTAACAGAGAACATTATTCTGGGTTCATATTGAGGGTAGAGGCAATGGCAGAGTTCAAGCACTTGGTTATCGTTAAGTTCAAGGAAGGTGTAGTGGTGGAAGAGATGGTGAAAGGGATGGAGAAGCTTGTTTCTGAGATTGATGCTGTCAAATCCTTTGAATGGTGAGTCTTTCTTTCAGTTCTGATGATGATAAGCTTTTTTATATTTAAATATCACTACTTGCACGTTGAAAAAAAGGGATAAAATCATAACAGAAGTCCTTTTTGTTAAATTGATTATAGCAATCAAAGCAGCTTAGAATACTAAAAATATTAGGCACTGAAGATGAGAAAGTAAGATTTGCGCATCTAACAAAACAAGGGCATGTGGTTAAACAAGGCATCATTTTCCCGATCGGTATGCCCCGAAAGATTTTCCGGCGCATTGCCTTGCACCAGAGAAAGGGTTATATCGACACAGGAATTGACTATGCCGGTGCCAGTCTTGCATCGGGTGCCCCTTATTTCTGGAGGTGAAATATACGGCATAAACGTTTAGAATCAGTTAAACAAAAGCAAAAACACAATATTTCAGCTGGTTTGTTTTGTGTTTTTGGTCCTTTTCATTCTCTGTGGTGCTTTTTTTATTATTATTATTTATTTGAACAGGGGACAGGATGTGGAAGGGCAAGAGATGCTTAGACAAGGGTTTACTCATGTGTTCGTGATGACATTCAGCAAAAAGGAAGACTACGCCACATTCGCCGCCCATCCAAGCCATCTGGAATTTTCCGGCCCGTTTTCAGCGGCTATTGAGAAGATTGTGGTGCTGGATTTCCCAAGTGTGATCGTCAAGCCACCAGCATGACCTAGAAAATATTTTCACAATAAGAAGCTGCAGCCTGCAAAGATAGTATTTGTATGTCTGTCTGTGTTTGCATATCTACATGTGTGAATTTGCATGTATTATTATTATGGTTTAATTTGTCACTTGGCGATTTCAACTCGTACTTATAATTAATTATCGACATAATATTATGTCATTCTACTTATATGCAGAAAATATTATTATTTTGCTAATATATACTCAATATAAGAAGCATAGTCCAGTGACCTCAAAAGTCGATAAATTAAAGTATTTTTTGACTTTGTTTGCTACACCTTATCTCTAATGAAATGGAAGATTAGCCGTAAAAGTCTTGTTAATTAACAACCCTGTCTGCCACAATCTAATAATATATGCTTTAGGTTACTGATGTGAACGCAATTAACAGTGATGCAAAGAGAACCATTAGCGTGAAAAATCAAGAACAGTTTAATTGACATAATACAAGATATCATGTGGACGTCATATCAGGCAGTGATATATATATCGAGAACAGTGAGGGAAAAAAATTTAAAAAGGGAACAGGCTGATTCTAAACAAAAGGCTGTGGGGAAAAAGTTTAAGATTCTACTGCAGAAGGAAATTAATAAAAGTCCTTTTGAAAATGCCAAAGTCTATCATAAAATATAAAGAAAGAAAAGAACCATTCATTGTTTCCTGCTTTCAACTTTTTCATTTAGTTGCTCAAAAGATGCTTCCAAATCCAACAGGATATATAAAAGAAGACCAGTCAGAAGTAACATCATTTTACAGATAAAAAAGTAGATTCCTTGTTTTAAAGTTCTTCCTACATTATTTCCTGATCCTCATCATCAGAAATAGACCATTCTACCATTTTAATTTCTTTCAAAACAAACCACCCAAGAAGAGAAGAAAATGAAAAAATTTGAGACAATGCCTAGCCTGCATACTTTTGTTCTTCTAATCAATTTTCTAACCACTGTCTCTATAGCACAACATGTGCCCACAAGCTTTTGTGGAAAGATTCAAATCAAAACTCCATTCATTAGTCCAAACTCAAATGAATCATCAACATTTTTAAACAGCATGATGCTCTGCAAATCCCAGAAACTATATTTCAGAACTTCTCTTGGACTTTTCCTAGTCTCTTCCATTGATTACACAACTAAAACACTAATCATCTCTCACCCTTCTTCTTCTTCTTCTTCAACAAGAAACTATGTCTCCCCTTCACTTCTCGCCGCTGGCTTTCCTTCATCTCCTTACACCAACTCTCTTCTTCTCTTCAACTGCTCAAACAATAAACATCCCCCCTCAGTGTCACCATTCCTTATCAGTAATTGCACTCGATTTCATGTATATGGAACCGCTTCTCAAAATCAAAAGCAAAAAGTACTTAAAGTGCCTTATTTCTGCTTAATTGTGAATAACCTTGAAAAACTTGACATGAATTTTCATCCAAGAGACTTGAATTGCTCACACTACAGGAGAATCTACAGAAGATCTTTAGAAAATGTTGAGTTAGGAACAAGGATTTCTTTTGATATTCCTAACCCTGACCATGTGCCGGATTTATGCAGCCAGTGTGAAAAGCCTAATGGCAATTGTGGCGTTGGGTTGAGATGCCTGTGTCATGCAAAAGAGTGTAGTAAGTGTTCTCATTATCTCTATTAACCTCAAATAATTTTTTTCTTTTTTTTAATTACATTTCTGCAGATTGATTTCTATATATTATACTGTATTTGCAGAAGATAAAGTCGTTTCTTTTGGTGGATCCCTGAACCCTGTTGGTAATATTGTCTTGTCGTTGCTGTGTTTCGTTGTTTTGATGATATTCTGGAGCCATTATTAATCAAAGGAGATTATTAATATCATTAATTGGTGGGCAGCCATCTTAAATATTTTTCCTTTTATCTAATTTTTATTTCCCTCTCCTCCTTTGATTTGTGTAAACACATCAAAAGATGTATGTTTGAATCGTATTTTGTTGAATTTGATTATTATTGACACCAAATTTAGCATTTTCTTTTCGTGAAATTAAGCATCCATTATCGCATTGTTTTAGTTAATTATAAATTTGTAAAATGGAAATTAGAGGAAACGAAATGGGCCTGGCTTAGTACGGTATGCCTATGTGAGGGTGGACATGATTCATGGGCATGGCCCAGATTTGTCTAAATATCATAAATGTTGGAGTCGTATTGAGACATTGATACGATCAATGGATGAGATTTAGATTTTTAAATATTTCAATTGAAAAACACATTTATGTCTCATTATAATCAATAATTGAGTAATTTCAAAATCACATGAACGTTCTACACTTAACCGATATAGAAAGATTTGAAAGGTCTCCCTTTAATAAAGCAAAAACCCTCCACTTTAAATCTTTCATGATCGAATTGGGATGCTTTTGCAAGTCAGATAGGTTCAAATTTCAAAATGGAATGCAGGAGCCTTGTAAAATGTAAATCTTGAAGGTGAAAATGAGTGAAATGGAGGCAAGTTATTGAAAACATTGAAGGAGAAGACATTATAGGACACAAAGAATACAAAGGGCGTGTAATTTATAATTTCAACAACAAATGCTATGCACATAAACAACTCAAAATTTAATGAGGACCTCCATTCAAAAATCAATAGGCTTTCAAGTTTTGCAAAACAATTGCCATAGGAAAAGAAAGACAAAATTATTTAATAAAAATTAACCCTAAGAGGTTGGTCTGGTGGTCATTCAAACCACCTTGAAATCACCAACCATATTTATAGTTTACCTTGAAACATTAAACTTGTAAGATGTTTAATAAACCTCAATGATTAATTGAAGTGTGCGTAAGCTGATCCAAACACCTCGGTCATCAAAAACAAAAAATTATCTAATTAAAAGCATGTAACATAGTTGATCTCTTATTACTAGAGTCTAGAGATAATAAATAAACTTTGAAAAAGAACATAAATGATTAGTTAAGGCTACTTGGATATTTTCGAAAGTATTAAAAGGGTTTCTATATTTTATAATGAATTTATGTTATTTTCCAAGGAATTTATGATATTTTCTAAGTAATTTCAGTAAAATATCAAATATTTTCTGCCTTTTGTGTTCAAATATATCATGGGGTCCCCTATGTGAGCTGGGTTGGCCCTTCTCTTGCAAGGCTTTTATTTTTGTCACATTCAAGTGGATATTTAGTCCAACTAAAACAACCCTTTACTCTTCAAGTATTATGTCTATGCACTAAATCTTTCTTCTATTACTTCTAAGATTCCTTATTCAGAATGAATGTAAAAATATTTTGGGCAAGTGGGTCGACCATCATTAGGCCTAATTGCCTCGGCCCAATTAGAGTCTAATTAGAAAGTTTAGCTAAACCATAATTGGCACTGTTTTAGGCCTCGAGTCTTGGCGCGAATGTAAAATAATTGTACACTATTTGAACCAAATACATGCCTCCATCTTTATTTTTATATACATTTCAATGATAATATTACTACATAAATTACTGATTATTGTAAGTGGATCTTATTATTCATTAAAACATCTATCTATCACTAATTATTCTAATTCATTTAATTTTTTATTTAAATTTTATTTTTAACTGAAATGACAATCGTTTATTGATATAAGAATGATAAGATAATATGAAGATTATTAGTCAATGCAATTCAATATTCTTATACATGTATGGTTGCAACAACATAACTAAGAATTTTGTACGATTTAGATTAATATCGGGTTAAAAATAAATTTATGTTAGATTGAAGTAATTATTCAACAAAAATTTTATTAACATAAGAGAGTTTTTAAGAATTGCCATTAGCTAAGGGGATTTATAGTTTGCGACAAAACTTGAAGGTTTTAAATAAGGGAGAACGACATTTTCCCACCCAAGGTTTGACGAAACAACACTTTCCTACCCTTCGTCGGATTTTATTAGTGTTTTCTATTAATATTTGACCAAAAAGACAAAAATACCCTTTAATAGTTTATGTCTTAATTAGTTTATTATAAATTAAAATTTAGTCTAATCAAAGTTTTTACTCGATTATTTATTAGTTCAAATATAATATATTTTTTTTACTTAGAAATATTGATTTTTTATGTTAATTAGTAAAAATGAAAAACATTATAAATTTAGTATATTATTAAATAATAGTGATGGGATATTTATGATATTATAAATAAATATTAAGGTCATTTAACCTTAAATAATTACATAACATTACTTCTAACTTTTTTTAAACAGTGTTAACTATTTTTTCTTTTTTAACTTTTAATATTTGAATTTTCGGTTAATTAAAAAATAGTAAAATTTTTATAAAGTTAAATATTTAAAGATATTTTTATCTTTTTAATAAAATATTAACGGATAACATAACAAAATCTAATAAAGGGTGAAAAAGTGTCATTTTGAAACTTGAAGAGTGAGAAATTGTCTATCTCCCTTTAAAAAATAATCCCTCTCGAAATTAATGTCAACTATTAAGAGAAAAAATTGCAAATTCAAACATTTGAACCGAGCAACGTCATGTGTGGCCCTGTGCGAGAGAGCGTGAAATTTTGCCCACTTAGTAAAGTCTAATTGCAATTTATGAGAGAAAATATCAAACAAAATGGTCTAAAAACCATGAATCATGATTTAAAGTCAAAATCATTCATTAAAATTTTTTTATAATTTTTTAGGTATTTGGAGTGGGATATGTCAGTCATCTACTGGATCCAATTTTATGAGTTGGTAAACTTACACTAGTAAAGAAATTCAACTACGAAATGGACTTGCAAACAAATAGATCTCAAGAGAATCAGAAACGCAATAAATAGTTAGTTCAAAATCAAATTCGGTGACCAATAACAGTACATCAAGAATAGAATGCCAAGTTGAAAAGATTGATCAAAAAGAACTCAATCACAAGACTTAAAAACGCAAGGGAAATTATGAGCTTTGAAACCAGGGAACAATATAACACACAATATGAGTGAAAGTGAGCTTGACGTGACAGATAACCCAGAAAAAAGGCCATTGATAACAATGGAGATCTGCCTGCTTTTTTTTTTTTTTCTTTTTTTTTTCTTTTTTTTAATAATGGGAAGGGTTCTAGATGAGCTTACACACACCTCAATTAATCTCTTGGGACAGAACTAACGATCAAGTAAGGGTTTTTATGACCACTCCTATTAACAATCAAAGAAAAACTCGAACTTATGATCTCTTGAATAATACATCCAATAGTTCTTATCGAATCACATGATCACCCAAAGGTTAGTTTGATCTACTTACTTTTCTAACCCAAAAAAATAATAATAATAATGCAAGAAAACCCAACTTTCTATGCCTAAAAAACACATCATTTGCCCCATCACAAGGAGCGGAACTTGAAGTTCTAGTTCTAGAAGTCCTGGCCCTTGAACGATTAGGAAAAAAATAAGGCAACGGTTTATTTATTCAAACATTTACAAAATAAAATTCCTGAAAATATAATCAAAATCAAATCTCAACAACTGCAAGAATAACGTGTAAGAACAAATGAATTGACTGAGATAAATAGATTAATACTTTGAGCTCTATTGATAACAGAAATAGCCAAGTCAAAGAAGACAATGAAAGGCTGCATTATTGGGGTCACTTGGTTACAAATTAAGCTGATTATAAATGGGTATATTTCAACTAAATAACACCAATAAAACATTCTTTAATTTGGGACACTTGATTTAAATGAAACCTAAAAGACCAAAAATCTTCTCCAGAAACAAACACCAAAAGGGAACTTAAAACAAAAGAGAACAGATAATAAATGAGTGCAACCATTGCTGTCACCCAACACCACTACAGTACTCACTTTCACAAATTTTGCAACTCACAAAACTTTGGGATTGAGCTGTATCGATCCCTGAGTTATTATTTGTACTTCTTGGGTGAAGTCTTTACCTGGATAGACCCAACCACTTGGAAGATGCCAATACTTTGGGTGAAGTCATTTCACAAAGTTAATGCTTAAAAATTACGCAGATTAGTGTCTTTAGGGAATATTTAACATTCAAGTTCAGTGTTTGTTTCTGGTTGGACCAAATAATGAATGGAAAGACAGGGGGACCATGGACTTGACATGGTTGTCCGGGAGGCAAGGAGAAGAGACATCTGGTTTTACAAGATATATCAATTATCCACCTCAGCATTTAAAAAACATCAAGTATCTTGCAAAACACATTAAAAGAAATTAGTTATTATGTGGTCAAATACTGATTATTGTCGGGGGATGCTCACCTTTTTTTTTTTTTTTTCTCTCTTTTGAAGTATATCTGAAAACTTCATTGATACCCTTCAAAATTCTAAATATTGCCTTTTTGATTGCATCATGCACTCAAAATTAGACATTTCTTGATACCATCGGGTTCAAATCAAGTAACAGAGAAGAACGAGATAGAAAATATAAACGCAAAGCCAACCGAATGTGTTGAATCTTAAATTCATATTTATGCATCTAAACAACTAATATGTTTCCACTCCAAGTTATTTTCTGTTCATCAAAAGAATCAAGTATCTACCTTTCAACAGAAAACAAAAAAAAAAAAAAAAAAAAAAATATTGGTATACTCTAAAGGAATAAAAAAAGAAAGAAAGAAAACACCAAGACCGAGTCTCAGTTTCTTTAAGGGCTCTTACAGGCGTAGATCAACAAGGAGAATTCAATTCTTTCTTGCTCTTTCTGCAGCAATTTCTCTTCCAACCAAAGCCGGCTATCCAATCCACTTCTTGTTCTGAACATGAACACGGCATAACCGGATGCAGGATTAAAGAACCAATCATGGACATCCCACATCAGATCAACAAGCAATCCATCAACAAAAATTGTTTGATTTCCTCTAAAATTCCATTGCAGTCTCTTTACACGAATCACCATCTTCTTATCTATACAAACAGATAAAACTGGATGCTTCAATCCTCCATTGTCTCCACTACATCTTATTAGAACATCATGTGCACTGCCAGTGTCACAAAATTTAGCCTTGGTTGAATAAAGGGTATTGCCTGAACAATGTTCTTGTCTTGTAATGAGAGACACTTTAGCCGCTGGAGAGCTATGCTTCAACTTCTTGGCGACAATTTCTTCACCCAAATTGCCTAAAATAAGGCCTATTTCTGAGTCAACCATCACCACAATATAAAACCCTTCAACAGGTTCCGGTCCACTTTCATATTTAGCAGCTGAAAGATCCCAGAATACTTCGATCTTTGAAGTGGCGGATTCAATCACTTTGTTACCTTTCTTCTTCCGGAAGAAGCGTGAATTGGTGTTCAGTTTGAAAGATGCTGAAGTCTCATCACCAAATTTTATGCTCAAACCTTGACCTGTAATAGGGCTTTTGCACCAAGTTACAGTGATGAAGAGTTGGTTTGTAGTTGAGAGAATGATTCTGTACAGACTAGTGACTGCATTTTGAACAGAAGGAACAAGACTGGGGGAAATACAAGCGTTGCTGGAGTAGCTAGAACAAGAAGAGTGGGAGATATTTACAGCCCTTTCATTAAAACAAGAAACAAAGTCTCTCATTGTATAAAAACCAAACTTTAAACAATTTCTGAACAAAATAAGAAAAACTGCAACTGGGCTATATGAATGAAGAGACAGAGAGAAAGAGAGAGAGAGATCTTCAGTTGAGTTAGGAGAAATAATTAAATCATTGTGGTTTTGGCTTGTACCAAGAGGAAATGAAGAGGTTAAAGGAAGGACAAGGCAGGTGCTTTTGAGAGAAATACAAAACTCAACAAAATATGGAGAAATTACAAAGAAATGTCACTGACAGGGCCATGTGTATTTAATATGATTCTCTCTCACCTTAAAATCTGCATCTTACAAGAAAGGAAGAATGGAAGATTGAAGGAGAAACCTCCAAGCTTTCTTTCTTTAATCTGCTTTGCCAGTTCATATACCATATTTAAATATAAAGAGAAAAATTAAATAAAGGGTATTAAAAAAAAAAGGTTGGACCTGTTCTGATACTGGCACTAGTTGTGACATGATANGGTTATATGAATGAAGAGACAGAGAGAAAGAGAGAGAGAGATCTTCAGTTGAGTTAGGAGAAATAATTAAATCATTGTGGTTTTGGCTTGTACCAAGAGGAAATGAAGAGGTTAAAGGAAGGACAAGGCAGGTGCTTTTGAGAGAAATACAAAACTCAACAAAATATGGAGAAATTGAAAAGAAATGTCACTGACAGGGCCATGTGTATTTAATATGATTCTCTCTCACCTTAAAATTTGCATCTTACAAGAAAGGAAGAATGGAAGATTGAAGGAGAAACCTCCAAGCTTTCTTTCTTTAATCTGCTTTGCCAGTTCATATACCATATTTAAATATAAAGAGAAAAATTAAATAAAAGGTATTAAAAAAAAAAGTAGGACCTGTTCTGATACTGGCACTAGTTGTGACATGATAGTGGCTGCCTTTAATTCCCTTCCTTTGGCTTTAGTGATCAGTAAAATATAATAATATAATAATATATACAAGTAATTATAGGTGTAAATTCATCTAGACTTTCTAAATTGCAACGGTTTTTTTTTTTTTTTTAATTTATTTATTTACTTTTTCATGTATTCAAGGTATTGAAGTCAATCTAACTATTAATGGTGAAAAAAATAAAAAAGTGACAACAGTGGAGGCAGAAAATCATCAAAATCTTGGTGAAAATGAGTTTATTTTTTTTATTATTATTTTAAATTTTTTGCAGTCTGAATTTCCACTAGGAAATGATGTGGGGAGTGGGATGCTTATGTTATGATAGTGAATGTTGGCCCACAAAATAAATTTTTAAATTTTAGACCCACCAACTGCTTCTCCCCAACACACTTATAATTAAAAGCAAGGCAAATATGAGCTAGAGGGCTTTAATTTATTTCCTTTTATCACTCTAAATTCTCAATACAAAGCCCCAAAAATAATAAGAAAAATATTTTAAAAAATAGAGTGTGACTATTATAATTAGAGCTGGTCTACTTTTTACATCCTTTAATACAAAATTTCATGTGGTTGCAGTTGGGAAGAAAGAACATTAAAAATCAATGCCAGCCCCATGAACCTTTTTAAGTTTGGTCAATTCTATCCTATCCGCATAAAATTATTCATAAATTGAGTAGTTTTATTTGTTCCCAAAATAAAACGATTCTATTAAGAGGGCAATCAACTACTTTGGGTAAAATTGCTTGGAAAAAAAGGAAAGAAAATGATTAATTATGAATTAATAGAAATGTTATAAATGGGAACAACCCTATTATAGTACTGGTAAAGGTAAGAAAAATATATATAAAATAGGTCTTTAATATTTACTAAAACTCGATTCTGATTTTAAAAGATGTTATTGGATATATTAGGAATGTAAAACAATAACATTTAAAATGGTTGATGATATATATATTTTTTTTCTATAAATTTGATTACAAGAAAAAGGAAACAATTTAAGATGATATATTGCCTCTGCATTGTGATAAAATTTTGATTAGAGTAAATATATGGTAATTTAACTATATAAAATTATGTTTAAATATAAACATACATAACATAAGCTCTTTTATTTTAATGATCAGGGGTGTTCGGGTCAGTTTACCCGCATCTCAACGAATCTCCTAGGATCCTGAAATTACCGACCAGATAAGAGCTCCAGTGGCTATCCTTATTAGCAACCGAAAAGATACTTGAACTCGATATCTCTTAAATAATATATCCAAGAGTCTCTATCGAACTACTCGTCACCTAGAGGTAGCTAACATAAGCTCCTTTAAAAATAAGAATTCTCCTAAACTTGTAAGAATCTCATGCCATTCATGTGGTGAAGTGTTTTTTTTATTTATTTATTTAATTAGATTTCTTTTTATTAATTTAATTTTGGAGAAGATTTTTTTTCCTCTATTAGATTTCTTTTTATTAGTTTATTTTGGAGAAGTTTTTTTTTTCCTTTAAACACTAAACATATGCTTTGTATTTTGTTTAAATAAAAACTTATATCAATAGAGAATCTAGTAGTGGTATGAGGCATTTAAATTTGAATCTCTTTGTAAATATTGTTATGTCTATAGATCAAACTTTAAATAAAAAGGGTAAAAACATGGAAGAGGTGTTATTATAATAAGTATGAGTAATGTCATCAATGCACCAAAATCATGATTATAATAAGAAAGATGAAGCAATGTACAAATTGAAAAGAGGAAATGGATAGGGTATGGAATCTCCAATAAAAACATAAAAAACAAACCAACCACATTATTACTTCACTCTGGCTACAGGTGACAGTAAGGATGAGCACTTTTGAGTTATGGACCCATCAAAGCTTAGGGCATGTTCCCCCATTATGGCCCAACTACATTCTTCTATCCAATTTCAAATTTCAGAAAATCTCAAAACTTTTCTTTTTAACTCTTACCTCTCTCCACTCTCATCCATTGTGTAATGAACTAAAAGAAATTAGACAAGAACATTCTTGCTTTAACAAAGCTCTCTTGTAAACATCTCAGAAATTGCAGGGGTAAAAGCATATGCTTGCTTTACAAAAACAACTTTTCCACTCTAGAATGGTAGATTGCTTTCTGCCTTTAACCATATTTTTTTAATTTTAACTATAAAAAACACACCTAAAGCACCGACCTTAATCTCAATAAAGATATGATTATCGTAGCCTCCAATTTTAGTTATCAATCATTAAAACTTATAATCTATTTGTGCGTAGCTAATCCTCTTCATTTTTTTGGAATAGTCCAAGATAAAAGTTTTATTCCCCGTTTGGTTTCCGAGAAAATGGATTCCAAACTTTTTCTATTATTATTAGATTAGTCGACGAAAAAGGGTTGTGCATTCAAAAGGGCAACTGTCAATGTACCTAAAACACCAGGAAACGTGAGTTCAACAATCAAAAAGAAAATGGAATCCCACCACAGTGGAATTCTTCTCTTTTGGCTTTAAATTATTCCGAGAAATTCTCAGATGAGCCTGAAGCAGCTTTTTATTCACACCCATATGAAATGGAACTGTGTCACTTACCCTCTAAACTTTCATTGAAAACCAAGCCAGAGATTAATAAACGAACTTTGGCAGAAACACCACTTGGGGCAGTAGCCAGCTCATAAATTGCTTTAATTTACCTGTAAGGTTATTAGATAATGAAATGAATCTAACACTTAGATTATATGTCAAACAGGTCCCCCACTTGCCTGTCAGAAAAACATAATAAACGCGGTAACTCTAATAGCCAACTGTTTTCTTCAAACAAACACAACTGCTAACTGATATAAAAAGACTGGCAAGAAGAAGAGAATAATAATTAACATGCGGAAAATGAGTTTATTTTTAAAATAAGAATTGAAGAGTTCAAGAGAATAAAAATGTGCCTGTATTTGTTTATGTGTCCAAACCTCTGCTGATCTCAATGGATGTCGTCAGCCGTTCCCTTCCATCATGCCTAAAACAATTTTTTAGAAAGGTCTACAGAAACCAATAATCAAACAATCAGTTCACATAGTTTTAGGTGAGCGATCTTACTCAGTTCCATCCAAACCAGCTTTGGCTGCAATGTCAAACGATATTCTAAGATCTCCAAGGAGGGCAGACTTTCACCTGTTCGATTGTTAGGAAAAGTATACTAACAGAATCACAGAGAGATAGAATTCAGGAAAATTAATTAAATGGAGTCAGAGCTAACAATCATAGAGTTGTTAGTAAAACAACTATTTAAGTATTAAATGATTCTGGTTGTATGTTAAACTGTTGCATCAAAACCAAACCATTCCCTAAGACTAAGCCACATTACTGCAAAATTAAGGCTGACTTATACGCAATTAACTTTGTGATCATGACAAGAAGCTAATATAAAATTATAAATAGTATAGTCAGCCTTCAAGTTGTCATATACTTATTACCCAACACAATACAAGAATATTAAAATTTTCAATAACTAAACACACTTTCCATCTCCTTTCCCTACCCAATAGCCCTATAGATTATTTTATATAACATCACATCTACCAATAGCATGAGCAATTCTAGATGCGTTAATAATGACCTTAAAATAATACAGTGACCTTAGTAACCATAAACAAATCTGACAAGTTAAAAGATATTTTATATAATCAGCCACTGAGAGTGTTTCTCTGTTGCTTCTAGGAAGTTCTTCAAGGTCTGTTATATAATGTCCCTAACAATTTTTTGCATCAGATTCTAATCCCCTTTCAGGCTACTTAATACATCTTCAGATATTCCCCATTCTTGTAAAGTCTTACATTTATATAGTCCATCACAATGAACCTTAAACCAAGTGCAATGTTCTTGGTGAAAAGTTGTGGAATGTTGAGGTGACAAATGGCTACTGTAATGTTAACAAAAGCTCTCCCTTTAAAGCACACACAAATTATGCCAACCCTGTTTCCAGAAAGAAATTTTGAACATTATGCATCAAAAACCATGAATTGTAAATTACAATTAAAAGGGAAACCTCATGCCCAACTATAAGATGCTGGCAATATATCTTTAGCAATGTGATTTTTTTTGCTGACATAACAATCCTGGAATTTTGCCTGCCCTATTTCTAGAAGGAACATTACTTCTACAAATAATCAGTTTTACAAATTTGTTCAATGTGTGGCAAAAACTATTTATCTGACACCATAATGTCAATATGATTCAACAACTAGAATTCAATTCCATTGAGTTGCCTTAATAGGTTGACATGTAAAAAGTGTAAGTAACTCCATGATAACTGGCCAATTACGATAGAGATCTGTGTGTTCAATA